ATAAGTTGTCCTGGGTATGACGATAAACTACATCCGGCAGCAAGGCCGCTGCTCGGGAGATTGGAGGTTTTGAGGAAGGGGAATCATGTCTTAACTGCTGTTGTTCCCAGGTCCACCCTGACCAGGAGTGGTAGCACCTATTAGGGTCCTAGATATGGGCAAAGAGTGAACTCCCAAACAAAAATCAACATTAAAGTTTTATAATAAAAGAGCAACAATACAATTTTATAGCAAAATGACAATAAATGCAACACTAAAAATATAGAAAATATATTTTTATAGTAAAATTACTTTAATATATTTTCTGTTTCTACGTTATTTTTCTAGATACAAATATTTAAGTAAATGTTCTGTTTATAATAAACAGTATTAGTTACATTTAGCGGCCTGAATGTCAAGAAATTTCATAGAAAATATTTGTCCTCCGTAGGATACAGGTTCGATTCCTGTCGAAGGACACATATTTTCGATGAAATTTCTCGGATATTCAAGCCGATATATGATGTTAATACTGTTTATTATAAGCAAAGCATTTGCTTAAATATTTGTATCTAGAAAAATAACGTAGAATCAGAAAATATATTAAAATAATTGTCGGGCTTAGTCCATTTCATAATACAATAAAATTATCAATACATTTTATGATCTACAAAGTATATATTTAAAAAACATATCTTTACACTGAAAGTATAAAATTACCTATAAAATATTTAGATTTCGGTATTAAATAACCCATTGAGGTTGATATACCGCTAAACAAAATCAACCAACCAACTGTCCACATATAATGACGTGGCTTCCATCTGTTTTTTCTATAAATATTTTCATGGCAATTTTGCTGATGAGCTTTTTTCTTGGTGTCTCGGCTGCATGGATTTAAGCGTGCTACTAGATTGGTAATTAGGTCTCACCGTTTTAATTTTGAACTAACTAGAGCAACCGCAAGTTCTATTCTAATAGTTTCTTCTTTTCTCGCCTGTGGAGCTCCCTTCCGATTTCTTGCTTTAATTTTCTAAAATTAAAATGCAAATCCAATTGCCATCTGTCTTTTTGAATCTGTTCTTTTATTGGCCCTTCTCCTCACGCTTGTCATTCTCGTTCATTCTCAATAGCCCGTTACATCATAGTGGCATTATCGCCTTGCTTGGGGGGAAATGATTTAAAAGGGTGAAATGATTTTAAGAGTACTATGCTAGTAAATAAATACTAAACAAATATTCTCTTCAGATAAAATAAAATTTCCAGAATTAATCTTACACATTTATCAGTCGTTCACTTTTTACAGAACATCATACACATTGCATTAGTTGCTCACAGTAATGAGTCTGACTATAATTTCGATTTAAAAAATGTTACTTTAATTAAAGAAGTGAGTAATTTACTAAGATGAAAGTCTACATAAAATGTGTTAACCGCTAGATCATCAACAGCAAATTTGCATTCAGGTTCTTACAACATTTCACCTTTTTTGAGCAGATCCTCTATATACCATGTGGTATACTCAATAGGCAAATCGATAAAAACATAAAACAAAAAAAATAAAGGAAATCGACTAATGGGGGTACTATGCAAAAAGAGAATATTTCCAATCAACATTTCTTCATTATATGCATTACTATATCCGTGATATAATAGAAGGATTTCTATGGTGACAAAGAAAAGAAACAGAAGGATCTTTATGGTGACAAAGAAAAGAAACAGAAGGATCTTTATGGTGACAAAGAAAAGAAACAGAAGGATGTCCATGGTGACAAAGAAAAGAAACAGAAGGATCTCCATGGTGACAAAGAAAGGAAACAGAAGGATCTTTATGGTGACAAAGAAAAGAAACAGAAGGATATTCATGGTGACAAAGAAAAGAAACAGAAGGATCTCCATGGTGACAAAGAAAAGAAACAGGAGGATCCCTATGGTGACAAAGAAAAGAAACAGAAGGATCTCCATGGTGACAAAGAAAAGAAACAGGAGGATCTCCATGGTGACAAAGAAAAGAAACAGAAGGATGTCCATGGTGACAAAGAAAAGAAACTGAAGGATTCTATGGGGACAAAGAAAAGAGACAGAAGGATCTCAATGATTACAAAGAAAAGAAACAGAAGGATGTCCTTGGTGACAAAGAAAAGAAACTGAAGGATTCTATGGGGACAAAGAAAAGAAACAGAAGGATCTCCATGATTACAAAGAAAAGAAACAGAAGGATCTCTATGGTAACAAAGAAAAGAAACAGGAGGATCCCTATGGTGACAAAGAAAAGAAACATAAGGATCTCCATGGTGACAAAGAAAAGAAACAAGAGGATCTCCATGGTGACAAAGAAAAAAACAGAAATGTCCATGGTGACAAAAAAAGGATCTCCATGGTGACAAAGAAAAGAAACAGGAGGATCTCCATGGTGACAAAGAAAAGAAACAGAAGGATCTCCATGGTGACAAAGAAAAGAAACAGGAGGATCTTTATGGTGACAAAGAAAAGAAACAGAAGGATGTCCATGGTGACAAAGAAAAGAAACAGAAGGATCTCCATGGTGACAAAGAAAAGAAACAGAAGGATGTCCATGGTGACAAAGAAAAGAAACAGAAGGATCTCCATGGTGACAAAGAAAAGAAACAGAAGGATGTCCATGGTGACAAAGAAAAGAAACAGAAGGATCTCCATGGTGACAAAGAAAAGAAACAGAAGGATCTTTATGGTGACAAAGAAAAGAAACAGGAGAATTTCTATGATAACAACGAAAAGAGTACTGAGCTGCTACGTGACATCTGTCCTCCTGCACGGCAGCGAATGTTGGACGGTATACTCAAGGATGAAGAAGAGGCGCCAGAGATATGGTTCTACAGAAGGATGCTGAGGATATCATGGACCGTGCATTTGGACAACGATGAAGTCTTGGAGAGGATGCAAACAAGTAGGAAGCTTATGCATAACATAAAGAAGAGGCAGATGAAATTACTGGGACACGTGATGAGAAAGGAGGGCCTGAAGAATTTGGGACGAATAGAGGAGAAAAGGACAGGGGAAAGCAGCACATGACATACGTGGCGGGCATGAGCAGGTGGATGGCGGATCGTGGTTTACGGGAGTTGGCAGAAACCCAAAACCTGTTGACAGTCACAAAGGATAAGGAGGAGTGGAGAGCCATGATCGCCTACCTCCTGAAAGGACACGGCACATAAAAAGAAATCCATCATATAGCATAATAAAACTGGCGAAACATAATAACTGAAAGAAAGACATGACAAGTACATCCATTGTAGTCAGACATTTTTATACCGTTATATGCATACCTGTCACTAGCTTGTCTCACACAGAGAAATTATAACATAAATATATATAAAGAAGTGTGAAAGTAGCGCAAAGCGTGAATATTTACTTGTAAAATTTCCCGAAGGGGAAACGGACACGCCCATAGTGTCTTATGTCCCTGGTGTGAACATGTGGTTTCCTCTACTATCTTAACTACTATGGGTAAGATTGCCTTGCTTCTCCATTGTCAGCATAGCAACTAGGTAAGCAAACATATCTTGCCTCTAGGCATGCTAAATAGCAACTAGTGTTCATCAATTATGAATTGATGTTTACTTAATGATAGACACGTGATCCTCAGCCAAACGGAGATAATCACCTGTTCACATTCTTACAACACAAATACATATTTTAAAATATATATATATATATATATATATATATATATATATATATATATATATATATATATATATATATATACCTTGCGCGAACCCTAATATGACTAACAACAAACTAAAATTTTTCATACCATATCTTTTGCATAGCCGATACATGGTTAGACATATATTTTTAATGTCCATAAAGCAATATAAAGTCTTTTATTTTCACTATTCATATTCGGACTATTGCATTTCTGTTGCTGCTACCACAATGTTTTGGCCGTTGTGGCCTCCGGCCTTCCTCGAGTGTATATCGCTCTGGGTAACCTACAGGGAATTATTAAAATCTCGAGTAGAATGTTCTCGTTCCACTGCTCATGTCTATGGATATCGATATAAATATATATCTATATTGCATATGATCCATTATTGTACAGAATTAGGTTACAATAAAAGTTGTATTTTATATGAATACTGCCTTATAAAATTGCGATGTAATAGAGTGGGGAGTATTACAGATACGTCAGGAAGCCAACGAGACTCTCGCTCCGGCCCTGCTTACCATAGCTTCATGTCTCGCACCTCTCGCCTGTGGAACTCCCTTTCCTTTTCCTGTTTCCCTGTGAGCTATAATCTCCAGCTATTCAAGTGTAATGTCAATCGACATCTCCAGTTGCCTTGATCTATCCACTACCCTCATCCTTTCTTCTATCACTTCTATCTGATCTTGCTCTAAATTTTCTGTAACCCCTTGCGTTCTAGTGGCTTCCCGCCTTGCTTGGGGTGAAATGCTTAAAAAAAAACTCTTGAATTCTTGATTTTAGAGCGTATAATTCCTACATCAACGCACTATATTTTACATTTATTTTAACAATTTCTTCTTATTGGTAGTTCATAGATATTCATTTTATTCACACCTATTTTTAATTTTAATGACTGGTAAATTTCCCCAAAAATATTAAATTAACTATAGCGTTTCTAAGTAGCAAAATTGCCATGGTAACTATTTTTCGTTAATTATCTTCAGTTTGTTTGGGTTTTTTTTTCTGATACTGTTCTTATTGAACGAAACATTGTAAACAGAACAGACATTTAAACAATCCAAGTATTTTTTACGTACTTCATATACTTCTTTTCGTATATGTCATATCGTTCATTGCACCATTAGTTAATTTATATAGCTGTACATTGCTCTTATTTAAAATAAGTGACGTTAATATATATTTACTGAGCTCATATAGTAATGCGTAATATTAGACAAATAAATGCTGACATATGATTTCTTCAACAACAGCAACTAAAACTTCAGATCAGGCCGTAAATAGATGCATAATAAGCTTATAGTCATTTACTCTCACGTCAAAAGGACAGCAGATGTCTTCCTGTCGATTGGCTGACATTAACTACAACTCTCTTCTTTTCTCTCTCGCTTTCTCTCCCTCTCTCTTCCTCTCTCTCTATCTATCTATCTATTTATCTATCTATCGCTTGCTCTCTCTCTCTCTCTCTATTGATCTATCTGGCAGCATCTCACTTTCAGCAAGTTAATATTGATAGATTAGATATAACGACAGCTTAAACTGATCCACCTCGTTCAACTTACTACAGCTACATCGGAACTATTTTCTACTGTGGATTTGTACGAGTTTCATTTTAGATTTCACCAAAACGGCTCTCCGGGGAAGACATACGCCCCTTCACTCCACTGTAATCGTGGATGATGAGGGAAAGCCGCCACCTAGGAGCCCACCATTTTTGTATGCCTTCATCTGGGCGGTTTATATAGTTCTATCCTTACTTATTGTCGCAATCATTTATATGTCCACATGGAGTTAAAGTCTCGTGTGATGACGATTGGCATTTGGATATTGATGAAGGTTAGTCATTTGTTTTCTATCTTTTTCTTTCCTTTTACTAAATTTGTAAGGCTAGACTTTTATTTTATTTCATTTTAATTTCAGATATGTTTCTATGTGGTTTTGAAAAGTTTCAACGAAAAGAAAGCTGTGTAAATTTTTAACAAGGGCTGTGTAATGCATTGAAAATCTTGTAGCTTGTTCCGAAACTTCAGAATAATTATTTTTTATTGACTGTATACGCTAATACTGTCCGTCAAACAGCGTCAGCCTTTACATGTGTGTATGTAATGTATATGTGTGTATTTGCGTTGAACGTGAGCGACTCATGTGTTTCTTTCATTTAATGTACACGCACATACACACAAAATTTGACTAAGTTTGAAATACGATATTGAAATACAGTAGAACTACCCAAATCCGAGCATAGCATAATTTAGCTATCCTCGAATTAGACTACCACGAATTCGGACTCATCTTCAAATCACAACTTTTGTATTGACATAAATATGAAGCCTTTTTCTTCTTCAAATCAGAACAGTACCTTTAATATCAAACATCTCGGATTTTCGGTTTAGAGGAGTTATATTGTATATCCTTATTTTTGACTCCCTTTACAAATTCTAATTGTTTTTGAATCAGATATTTCATAAATTTTTAAACATTTCATAAAGTGTTTTAGTGTTTCACAAATTACAATATTTGTTTAGCACAAATTTTTTTCATTACTATTGGTTGTCACTTATTTTTTTGTACATTTATTTATTCAATCTACACTTTAAAAACGAATCAACGTTACAAACTACCATTGTATCCTAAAGTCTGAAACTTAATAAAAAATTTATGCTTGCCACAGCAGCCGTTTCTTTCTCGTATCCGAACAGTACCCTCAATAACAAACATCCGAGATGTTCGGTTTAGATGAGTTGTACTGTAATACGTCCCCTCCCACTCAGTCTGGACAACATTTACCCTGAGCTGAGCAAAGTTGGGGACAAAAAAATCTTGCTTTTTTTTTAAACCTTAAAAAAACTCAGATAATCATTTTATTGAATTTTTTGGAAATTATTTGATAATAAGTAGAATTATTAAAGATTTATTTTATTTTGTAAAAATATTTTTTAGATATGTCATTGAATTAAAATATACATAGAGCGTACACGCAAAATATACAGCGTACACGAAAACGTATATACGGACATTTCGAATGAAATTGAAATAAACATCTGTAACAAGAAATGTGTGTAAGCCAAAAAATGCGTCCTTTTGGCAACATTTTTATGATGCTTTCCGTATTTAAACTGAATATATTTTCGAATAAATGCATGTTAAATTGACAATCTAGATTTTGGCATCAGCGAAGCGACAGATACGGAACTTAGGCCTTGTCAAAACTGTCACATCCTTAAATATTTATGCTAAATTCTTCCTATTTGTTTCATAAAAAAACATTAAGTTTTATTTAATTCTGTAACAATAACTGATTTTAAACAGCCATTCTGAATAACAAACGTAATACGAGACCTGTCCGAAAAAATATATAGCCATTTTAAATATCTCAAAAACCAGCTTTGGATGTCATCCGGGAAACAATCGAATGGAACGTTACTACGCATGTGTGAACAGACGCTGCCTTATGGGTTTACTCAATCAGCACTTATACACCACTGAGTGAGTGTGTGTATTGCGCGGCCGCCGGTTTCACAACGACCAAACTAATAAATAAGTCTTGTAAAAGTTCCCATCCCACCCCAAAACATCGTATCACCTAGTTATGCCACCCAGACCCCACCTACCAAATCTGTAGTTCCGATTTCGCTCTCTGCAAGTTCCAGTTTTCCCAAAGGTAAAATCGTCGTTGCACTATAAGAGATTTTTGACCGTGTGATGAGATGTTAGAATCATGGGATGAAAAAGCAGCTGATGGTAATCCCAGACGAAAATTTTGCAGATTGTTTTGGAAATGAGAACAAGATAAATATGTGAGGTATTGACTTGAAAATATGAAAACATGACTGTCTATATCTCTGAGATAAAGGGTTCAGTATTCCAATCACCTGAAGAAGGCCGGAGCGTACAACGGCCGAAACGGTGTGAAAAAAAATGAATCAGACGTTATGCATGGCATCCCTATGAAAGTCTAGACTTGGCAAGGCTACTTAAGAACAACTCATGTTTTCATTACTTACATTATTTACATTATTCCGACTGTTATCCTCATCTTCATTGCCATATTCACAACGTTTCGGCCTTCTTCAGGATCTGTCTATATCTCTGAGATGAGGTATTATGATAACTTGCATCATTTACATTATTCGGACATTTATCCTCATCTTCATTGCCATATTCACAACGTTTCGATCGTTGAACGCTCCGGCCTTCTTCAGGATCTGTCTATATCTCTGAGATGAGGTATTATGATTACTTACATTATTTACATTATTCCGACTGTTATCCTCATCTTCATTGACATATTCACAACGTTTCGGACGTTGTACGCTCCGGCCTTCTTCAGGATCTGTCTATATCTCTGAGATGAGGAATTATGATTACTTGCATTATTTACATTATTCTGACTGTTATCCTCATCTTCATTACCATATTCACAGCGTTTCGGCCTTCTTCAGGATCTGTCTATATCTTTGAGATGAGGTGTTATTACTTGCATTATTTACATTATTCCGACTGTTATCTTCATCCTCATTGCCATACCTCAAAGAAACATGGCCCAGTGAATAAAGGCGTTGGTTAGATCCAGTGACTAGACTCAAAGTGTTGTGAGTTCAATACCAGGCCACAGCAGTGGTTAAACAAAAACTTGGAGAGTTGAATTAAAGGGAAATAACTACGACACCCGGAAGAGGCACGGCGCGTGAAACTAGAACAATTTATCCCGGTGGACGAAATAAAGGGTTCGGTCCGAAATTCCAATCACCTGAAGAATGCCGTAGCGTACAACGGACGAAACGTTGTGAATATGGCAATGAAGTCGAGGATAGCAGTCGGAATAATGTAAATAATATAAGTAATGAAAACATGAGTTGTTCTTAAATAGCCTTACCAAATCTAGACTCCTATAGGGATGCCATGCATAACGTACGAATCATTTTTTAACAGCGTTTCGGCCGTTGTACTCTCCGGCCTTCTTCAGGTGGTTGGAATGTCGAACTGAACCCTTTATTTCGCTTTCGTGCTATGTCTAATGGATGTCAGTTATCAGATATCTCCTGTTAATTAACCTCTCCAAGTTCTATAAGTTCTCCATTGCCTTAAGGATACATGACACAGTGGATAAAGGCGTTGGTTAGATCCAAGAGTTGTGGTTTCAATACCTGGTTAAGGCAGTGGAGAACTTGGAAAGGTAAATTAACAGGAGATATTGATAACTGACATCCATTAGATATGGCGCGTGGAACTAGAACAGTCTACCCCAGCGAGCAAAATAAAGGTTTCAGTTCGACATTCTAACCACCTGAAGAAGGCCGGAGCGTACAACGGCCGAAACGTTGTGATAAATATGGCAACAAAGATGAGGACAATAGTCCGAATAATGTAAATAATGAACGTCCGACTTATTCTGAAATGTCTGACTACCATCCGCATTACTTCAGACGTTATTATAATGAACACTTCGTATTTGAAATAGACGTCCTATTTTTATTTATTAAACAGTGGGTATTACGTCTATCGGTCTGCGTATTTGAGAAATCTTTGCCACGAAAATGCGTTCGGACAGGCGTCCCACTTTTCAGCGGAAACCTCCGTTTTGTTCTGGCGTGTTTTACCGCTCGGCCACGAAGGACGGCAAGCAAGGTTCTATTTTTCCCTTTTTTCAAGAGAGCACATCCTCTTCACCCAGATTGTTTTCTCGAAAGCTTCATATCTGCTGTTTCGCATCCGAAACGTAAACAATGCGATGTTTAAAGAATTAACAGATTTATTTTTAATCCGACATTTTTATTACTTCAAACGTTATTATAGTAAATAACTTAGCCCCACCTTTATTTATTAAACGGCGCATTACGAATATCGATATTCCCATTCGAGAAACCGAGCAGCTATGAAGCCCTCGAGAAAATAATCTGAGTGAAGATGTTCTTTCCTTATAAAAGGGAAATAGAACCTTGTTTGCTGAGGCGTTCTCCGTGGCCGAACGGTAAAGCACACTGTATCAGACGTTGGTTTCTCCTACAAAGAAGGGCGCATGTTCGATCCCTACCAGGGAACGCATTTTATTGATCAAGATATTCTCGATAGACATATCGCACACAGCTTAATAAATAAAGGCGGGGCGTCTCTTTCAAATACGAAGTATCGACTATAATAACATTTTGAAGTAATAAAAATATCGGATTAAAAATAAAAACCCATTAATTCTTTAGCAACGTACCATCTGTATACAACCATTCTCCCAGATTAGGGATTTAAAATGGCTTCAAACGGATGAAAGTTTTTAAAAAAACAATGACCCTATTGTCTGGCGTCGCAAATAAAGAGCTTTATCAAATAACAAAAAAAAAAGCAAATCACTTGAAGACTTCCACAAACAGGAACAGCCAAAATAGGTGGCACATGTAACTAAAGGAGGAAACAATGATAAAATTAAGAAAATTCATACAATACTAGAAAGAGTAATAACAATTAGTGAACTTGATAAGTCTAATTTAAAAAAAGAAATTGTTTCAAGAAGAAAATAGATTTTATAAAAAATCCCCTAACAGTTCAGTCAATGAATGTCAGCTGATTTCTTATAAGGAAACGGTTAATCTCGTCACTATAAATGGGCAATGGCGATGTGGCTAAAGGTTATTGGTTAAGGGTGGCTAAAGCGTTATTGTCCTAATTAACCGAATTTTTGGTTAATTTGAAATGATTGAGTTATTACCAGACAGACGACAGGCACACACAAACATATATATATATATATATATATATATATATATATATATATATATACAACACACACACACATATATAGATATATATATACACAACATATATATATATATATATATATATAT